AGCACTGACTGCTCTTCCAAAGGTCCTGAGTTCAAATCCCAGCAACCACATGATGGCTCACAACCATCCATAATGAGATTCGATGCCCTCTTCTGGTGTGTCTGAGGATAGCTACAGTGTACTCATAAATAAAATAAATAAATCTTAAAAAAAAAAAAAAAAAAAAAAAAAGAAGTATAAATATGACTCCACAGACCGTGGGAGCACTGAGCATTGGTTTGGTTTGCCCCACCTTCCTATTCTCTGCTAACAACTTATGTGTACTGGTTCACCTTACATAGTGTTGTTGAGCTCAACTGGTGGTAACGCCGCTATTGAGAGAAAGTCACCAAAGAATAGCTTGTGAGCTTCCTGTGGCAGCCTGCCTTTTCAGTGGCCTTGGGTCAGGCCAGTTGGTGAGCCTGGCGGTTTCTTGGGGATTGAACTACAGTTGTTGGTTCAAGTATGTTATCTACCTGCCTAGAGGACTGTGTTTGCAGCTGCTGAGTCACATTTGGTGGTTGCTACCGGACTGAACTGCTGCCAAAAAAGATTCAGCTCACCCCCAAAGAACTACTGCTGAACAGTCCACTTCCCCCATCATAATAACTTTTCTCTTCACTACCTCAGCTGGGTGGTGGGCTAGAGGAGAGATTGAACCCTTATTAAAAGTAGATTGCAAAAAGTTTATGTGTAGAGTTGACCTCTAGCCTTCACATGTACAGTGTGTATCCACCCACTCTCACACGAATGCACACACATGAACACATATACACACATATGTATATGTGTGTACATGGAACTACATTTTGAAAAAGTGTCCCCCCTTCAGTTTTGGGGGATAAAACTAAATGCTGCGTTAATGTATGTCAGGTAGGTTCAGTGCTCTACCACTAAGCTCTACAGCCCCAACCTATCATTTTGGTGGTTTTGTTTTTATTTGGCTTTGGCTTGTGAGATAGGGTCCCACTATATCTCAGGCTGGCCTGGAACTGATTGTATAGTTGACCCTGGCTTCAAACTTGTGAGTCTGTTGCCTCAGCCTCTCAAATAGCAGCTGTGTGTCACCAAATTTGCATTGTGTGTACTGGGCAGGTACTCTGCCCTGAACTAATTCCCTTCCTTCCCTCCAGAGTAATGTTTCTTTTTCTTTTGCTCTCTCTCTCTCTCTCTCTCTCTCTCTCTCTCTCTCTCTCTCTCTCTCTCTCTCTCGTGTGTGTATGTGATAATCTTTTATTAATTTTTAAGGTGTATGAGTGTTTTGCCAGCATTTAAGTCTGTGCACCACATGCATGCAGTGCCTATGAAGGCCAGAAGAGGAAGTCAGATACCCAAGAATGGGAATTATGAATAGTTGTGAACTACCAAGTGGATGCTAGAAATCAAACCCATGGCACCAGTGCTCTTAACTCCAAGCCACCTCTGCAGCCCTGACTTTAAACTCTTTTTTGTTTTGTTTGTTTTTTCGAGACAGGGTTTCTCTGTGTAGCCCTGGCTGTCCTGGAACTCACTCTGTAGACCAGGCTGGCCTTGAACTCAGAAATCCACCTGCCTCTGCCTCCCAAGTGCTGGGATTAAAGGCGTGTGCCACCATCACCCGGCTGTCTAGTTTAATTATTGACAACACATTTTAATCTCAAAAGTGTTCCAATTTAGATTTCCAGTTAAACATCAGCATGTTCACATGGGAGATGCTTTGATGGGCAGCTATCACCTAGTGATAAGGGTGAAAAAGATCTCTAAAAAGGCAGAGATCTTTCTGTCCAGGAGAGTCTGCCAGATGCCTGGCATAGGACTTGGAATGTTTAGTTGCTCAATAAATAGGTCAAACAATAACAAAATCTGTAAACTGGGTGATGAGATAAGCAGACAGTGCTAAAAGGATGGAATATAAATGGTCAATAAACATGATAAAATAATCAATCTCACTAGCTATCAGAAAAATGCAAATCAAAATGACATTGAGGCGCTAAAGAGATGGCTCAGCTAATAAGAGCACATACTGCTTTCAACTCAAGTTGGTTCCTATTACCCACCTCAGGCAACTCACAACAACCACTTGTAACTCTAGCTTGTAAATATTTTTTAAAACAAACAAACAAAAACCCTACACTTTACCTCAGCCAGAAAGGAGTCATTTAAAAAACAAAACAATCTGTACACCTTTAATCAACCACTTGGGAGGCAGAGGCAGGTGAATCTCTGTGAATTCAGTGTTAGCCTGGTCTGCATATTAAGGTCTAGGACAGCCAGTGAAGGATACACAGGGAGACCCTGTCTCACAAGACAAGAGACAAAAGCCAAACCAAAACAAAAACCAACCTGATACCTGACATACATGGTGAGTTCCAGACCAGCTAGGGCTACAGAGGCAGACCTTGCTTTTTTTTTTTTTTTTTTTTTTTAAGCCAAGCAAGCAGAAAATAGTTAATGCTGATGAGAATAAAGACAAAGGGGAATACATATACAGGGATGGTGGAAATGTAAACTTGTCTAACCAGTATGGAAGGCATCATGAAAATTTCTGAAAATACTAAAAATGGGGCTCAAGAAATGGCTCAGCAATTGGAAGTGCTTGTTATTCTTGCAGAGGACCCATGTTTGATTCACAGTATCCACGTTGGATGCTCTTTTACCTAGTGAGCCATCTCACCAGCCTCAAGTGTGTTTTTGTGATATAACGGTGCTCCTCTCTGTCCCCCCTCTTCCCTCATACCCTTCTGGTATGGTAAAAAATGTAAAGAATGTCTGAAAATCTTGTGTTAGTGTTTATGCTACCCAGTATGGCAGTCACTGGTCAGTGGCTCATGTGCAGTAAGTCTGGGTATCATGATTACTCCAAATTGAGAAGTGCCAGAAGCAGATAATACACAGAAACACCAGAATAACTTAGAAGAAATTAAGCAAGAGCATAAGCTAGGAAGGGTGGATCTAGCCTCTCACTGAAGCAGTCAGGAAGTGGAGGCAGGAAGATCAAGGCAAGCCTCAGCTACATACTGAGTTAGAAGCCAGCTTAGGCTATAGGAAACCTTGTCTCAAAATGCAAAACTCTGTAAAATACTGATCATATGTTAAAATAGGAATATTTGGATATAATGGAGTCAATGAAAGGTGTGTGTGTGTGTGTGTGTGTGTGTGTGTGTCTGTGTCTGTGTCTGTATGTGTGTGTTTTGCTGGGAATCAAACTCATGGCCTCATACAGGCTAGGAATACACTGTACCACTGAGCCACTAATTCAGCTCCAAATAAGAAAAGGTTTTGTGTTGGGCTGGTGAGATGGCTCAGTGGTTAAGAGCACTGACTGCTCCTCCAGAGGTCATGAGTTCAAATCCCAGCAACCACATGGTGGCTCACAACCATCCACAATGAGATCTGATGCCCTCTTACAGGATGTTTTAAGACAGCTACAGTGTACGTACATGTAATAAATAAATAAAAAAAACTTTAAAAAAAAAAAGACCTGCTTTTAAAAAAAAAAAAAAAAGAAAAGGTTTTGTGGCACTGGCAAGATGACCTAACAGGTCAAGGAGGTTGCTGCCAACTCTGGATTCCTGAGACACACATGAAGGATTGACTCCTGCAAGTAGTTCTCTGAACTTCATACAAGCGTCAAGGCAGACATTTGCCCACACATATAAATAAATAAATAAATAAATAAATAAATAAATAAATAAAAAATTTTAAAGTGTTTGTTTTTCTGAGACAAGGTCTTACTATATAGCCCAGGTTGGATTCAAACTCATGGTGATCCTGGTCCCCCTACCTCAGCTTCCCAAGTGCTGAAATTATAAGTATGGATTATGACATCAGGTTTAGAGATTTCTAAAATTAACTTCATCTCATTTTGCTTTTCTCTCTTCTTTTTCTTTCTTGTAGCCCAGGTTACCCCAACTTCTAATCCTCATGCCTGTACCTCCCAAATACCAGCAGTATAGTATTATTTAGCACTACACTTTATTTATGCAGTGGTGCTGGGAAAGGAACCCCAGGGTCTGTGCATGCCAAGTATGACCAATTGAGCTACATCTGCAGCACCCCTCCCTGTTTGTGATACAGGGTCTTATTGAGTTGTCTAGTCTGGCTTAGAACTTGTAAAGCTCCTGTCTCCACATCCCAGGTGCTGGAGATATTCGTGTATCCTTGCTGGTGCTGATCAGAAAGATGTTTTAATTGTTTCTATTACCAGCTTCCCTAATGAGTGAACCACATGAGTTATATGACTTTTAATTTTAAAAGTTAAAAAAAACCCACATGATTATTGTGTGTATGGTACCTGTGTGAGTGACAGCCCAAGTGCCATGGCTTGTGTGTGGTGGTCAAAGGACAACTTTTTGAGTCTGTTCTGTCCTTTCACCTTTATGTAAGTTTGGGTGCTTGAGCTCAGTCCATCAGGCTTAGACAGCAAGTATCTTGCATCATTAAGCCATTTCCCTGTTTTTAAAATAATATTTACTTTTCTATGTGTGTGCCTAAATATGTACATGTGTATCACCTATGTAGAGGAGCCTGTGGAGGTCAGAGGAGGCACTGGATCCCCTAGAACTAGAGTTACAGGCCATTGGTAGCTGCTATGTGGAGGCTGAAAACCCTCTGTAAAGACAAGTGTTCCTAATTACTGAGCCATTTCCCTGGACCTGTTTTGATATTTTGAAATAAAAACAAGAGAGGCTCACATCATGAAATACTAAAAGAAGGGGTGGGCAGTGGTGGCACACGCCTTTAATCCCAGTACTTGGGAGGCAGAGGCAGGTGGATTTCTGAGTTTGAGGCCAGCCTGGTCTACAGAGTGAGTTCCAGGACAGCAAGGGCTACACAGAGAAACCCTGTCTCGAAAAACCAAAAAAAAAAAAAAAAAAAAAAAAGAAATACGAAAAGAAGGAAGCTGAAATCACTGGAAAGGAATAACCCACCAGTCCTGTCCTTAGTGGGTCTGGGAATACAGTCTCCACCCGGGGACCGTGTTTACTCGAACTTTGAAACTATTCGCTTTGAAAACTCAAATGAAACAACAGAGAACAAAATGTTCTGAGGTTGTTTTTATTGTAAGAATGCTGTGAGCCATGCCTGGGAAGCACAGTTGGCACCTATTCATCCACAGCACCCACAACAGCACCAAGAGTGTATCCAGGGCTCCTGGGAACCCTGTCTCCAATCAGTCAATATGACCGAGTCCACCATTAAGGGCCCAGCTAGTTCGACTGACGTGGTCCCTCTGCATCCCCAACTTCTCAGGTAGACGAGAAGTGAAATTCAATGCCCCTTGAGCCCATGTTTTCTGGGTCTGGGCCATTTGTTTCCTGTTGCTCTGACTGTTTCAGACAACAATGCTTGTAGACCCCAACACGGAAAAGGGGTCCTCCAGTCTCTCCAGTTATGGGCTTCTTCTCTGTCCACGAGACTCCAGATAGCCCTACTTAGAGCTCTTGCCCCCAGCAGAGAATGGCCATACCTTAGGGCCACAACCAAAGTCACTGTCTTCTTAGGCCTCGAACCAGGCTCCAGTGAGGAGGCTAGGAGGCTGCTGTAGCCTCCATGGGCTGGATCAGCAGGGTGGTAGCCTGCAGTGGATAGTAGCGGCCCTTCCACGTTTTCCAGAAGATCCCTTTTTTACGCTGCTGCCGTTGCCGTGGGATAGAGTGGAAGTATTGTCCATTGAGATTGGAATGGCTGCAGGTGCCAAACCACCAGCCACCTATAGGGTTAGAGAACAGAAGATGTGGTCAAGGTCTTAGGTTTCCATTCTGAGAGAGAGCACAGTTGGAGACAAGATGAACTTTGGATTTTACACCTTTAGAATTTATTGCTTTTATTTATTTTGTGTTCCCGTGTATATGTGTGTGGGTGTGTACATGCCACAGTGGGTGTGAAGGTCAGAGGACAACTTGTGGGAGTCAGTGATCTCTTTCTACTATGTGGGTCTTATAGATCAAACTTAGGTCTTTAGGCTTGTAGCTAAACACCTTTATTGGCTGAGCCGTCTCGCAAGTCCTATTTTTGTTTTATGACAGAGTCTCTTATCAGGCTGGCCTCAAACTCTCTATGTGGCCAAAGACAATTTTAAACTTCTGCTTCACCTGCCTCCACTTTCTTAGTGCTACGGTTAACATTGTACCACCCTACTTGGTTTGTATGGTACGAGGAATGGAACCTAGGCCTTCACTCATGTTGGGTAGGTTCTCTGCCAAATGAGCTACACTATGAAGCAGAGCTTATGGGTACAAATTTGTCACCACAGCGCTCGGCAGTATGATAGGAAGTTTGAGGCTAGCCTGCTCTACATAGTTTGATCCTATCTGAATAAATGAAGCAGGAGGGCTAGTATTGTAGCTCATCTGTTTCAGTGCTTGCCTGTCATGAGTGAAATTGTGGGTTTGATCCTTAGGAGCACATGGCACATGCCTGTTAGTCCAGCACTCAGTAGTTAGAGGCTGATCCTTTAAAGTTATCTTTAGCTATGTAACAAATTCAAGGCCAGCTGGAGCTATATGAGACCCTGTGTCAAACAGACAACAAAAACACCAGGGGCCAGGGTGTAGCTCAATGGCAGAATGTTTGGCTAACAGGCACAAGACCCTATACTTCAGAACTGAAAAAGAATATGACAAGGGTTTGTCTTGGCTTTGCCCCATGCCAGCTACCCACCCACAAATGTTCTCAGTTGAATTTTCAAAAAAGGGCACCATGCTCACTTTAAAGACAGGAAAACTGAAAACAGGAGAGATTAACTCAATGACTGGCCCATAGGCACACAGCAGGCAAGGAGAAAGGGGGGCAGGGCATGGGTGCACACTTTGGGACTGAATGTAGGCTACAGTGGGAATAAAACCTGCTTACCAGAGAGGCTCTTGGCACAGTTGAGATCCCCGCGGAGATCATGGTCTTGGTCCCAGGTAGAGAAAGGCAGAGAAAGGCCATTGGGGGAGACGTTGGTGGCACCCAGCTCATTGGCTGTGGGCTCAGTGAGCTGTAGGCTGTAGGCTGTATCCTCGCCCCCCAAATGGATGGGAAACTGGAGCAATTTGGCATTGCCATCCCAGTCTTGTAGCTGTACTGCCAACTGGCTTCCTCGGTCCCCTGTGATACTGTGCATCTTCTCCAAGCCCAGCCAGAACTCTCCTGAATCAAGTGAAATCATCTGTGAGCTGGGCTCAGTCAGCTCTTGTACCCTTTGCTCCTTCCATGACTCTGGCCTCCCGAGAAACACCTACCTTGGGGATCTCCGAAGCCATCCTTGTACGCTTCCCAGGACTGATTGAAGTCCACAGAGCCATTCAGGCGTCTCTGAATCACTGTCCAGCCTCCATCTGCCCAGAAAGACAAAAAGTTACCAGAAGTCCCTTCTCACAGGGAAACTGATAGTTCTACCTAGCTTCCAAGCCTGATATCATGCTCCCATACAATCCCAAGAAGGGCAACACACTCATCACTCCTCGCAGGGGGTGGGATCAGAATAGACTTCCATCCCAAGAGCCTGCAGGAACCAGCAGTAGATGTGTTTTGTTATTTGAAACTTAGACTGACTTAGAACATGCTTTTGTAGCCAAGGATGACCTCAAAATTTCCCTACAGCCTAAGCTGTCCTTCAACTCACTATGTAACTGTGGATGACCTCAAGCTCCTAATCATCCTGCTACCACCTCCAGAGTTTTGGGATAGCAGACTTTCACTATCGTACCCAATGCATGCAGTGTTGAAGATGGAATACAGGGCTTCAAACACTCTAGAGAAGCGTTTTACCAATTGAGCCCATGAAGACTCTGTGTTTATTTATCTGAGATAAGGTTGGCCTTGCACTTTCAACAATCATCTTGCATCAACCTCCTAAGTACTGGGATTATAAATGTAGGCACAAGTCACCATATCCAGCTGTGGTTCTATGCATTGAATTTAGGGTCTTGTACATTCTAGGCAGGCACTCTCCCATTAAGCTATGCCCCCAACTCACTTATATTTTGTTATTGCTTGACAAGGTTATACTGTTACCCAGGCTGGCCTTGAGCTCACTCTGTAGACGACTAGGCCTGAATAGCTGTATACCTTAACCACAAAAACCTATCACTGAGCTTGAGATGCCTGTCACTGGGGAAAAAAGATGATATATATAGTTCCTATCCTACAGGCTACATCCAACAAGGTGCATAATAGTGTGTGTGTGTGTGTGTGTGTGTGTGTGTGTGTGTGTGTGTGTATGTGTTACTGTGGAAGGATCCCAAGAGTTTATACAAACTAGGCAAGTGCTGTATCATTGAGCTATACATGTCTTTACTTTATGGCGCCGGGCTGTGCACGGCAGGAAGCTCCTTGCGTGGTCAGCATATCTTACCTGATGTCATCTCACAGTTGACCAAAAATGGTGGAGAGCCCAGAGGCTGGATCTGGAAAAGTCCACTGTGCCGCTCCCCTTCTTGGAAGAGTTCCTGGCAGTCCCGAGGAGGCCCTGAAAGTAGACAAAGGGAGAGAGTGAAGCAGGAGAGAAGTCCCCGGTGACTTCAGGAGACAGGTATGTCTGAGGAGTGGGCTAAGAGGATGAGCCCTAGGGTCATTTCCCTAAACTTGTTCCTAGCTCGTTGTAGCTTTCTCCAGTAGGGTCCACAAGACACACTGAGGACCAGCCCCTTGACTCATCGTCCCTCTTCACACTCTGCTTGTCTACCCTCTTTGGTCACAAAGGCTTCTTTCCCTGAGCCTTTCTTCGGTATATCACGCCTTCCTGCTATTTGGAATCAGCACTGGTCCTGATGCCAGGGACTCCATTTCCCCATTCCTTTCTCTGGGTCCCAGGTTCTAAAAGGGTGCTGTTCCACTCTCTCAGACCCTGTTAGACTCCCAAAAGTGAACAGAGGTCTTGTCACTGATGAGAAGTCGTCTGGAGGCATGTCCCCACTCCTCCCATTGAGTAGACCTTCTCAAGGCCAGGGACAAGGAGGAACTTTGTCCACAGTAGGAACCTGTAGCCACCTAAAGCCTACTCCACAACCAGTGTTTCAGTGAAGACGTAAAACAGTGGACAGGGGTGGATCTGGGGTAAGGCAAGAGCTGAGCTGACTGAGCAAGAGGTACTCTAACAGTAAAAGATACTGACAGTGGGACAGGAAGACTGAGGCTGGGGTGTGGGTGGGGCATGGCTGTCTCTGCAACCAGAAGGGGGGCAGGAAGAAAGAGAGAAGAAAGAGAGGAGAGGAGGAGAGAAAGAACTTGGCCTTGACAAGTCCTCTAAATTCAGGAAGAACCGCCCCCAGCCCAGCCAGGAAAAGTAGGAGAAAGGTCACTGGGGGAGGGGCATGCAGGGACTTTCTGCCAGCCAGCTCAGTCCTCATTGCCAGGAGTGGGGGCAGACCCAGAAAGATGGGAAGTATACTTTCCAATCCCTTGGGCAGCTCCCTTTCCCCTACTTTCCTCTCATCCAATCGGGACAGGCACACTGCCAAGCCACCCATGTGGTTTCCATTAGGGCCAGCTGTTTGTCTCCCCAGCTCTGAACTTTCCTCTACTTGGCTAGGCTGAGTCTGGGAGTCCCAAACCCACAAAACCACCCCCTCAGCTGTTCTCTTCCACCACATCACCCATCCAGAACCTATGCCTGCCAACCCTGGGAAAGCTCATCCATGACCCTCACCATGCCTAGGTACTTGTCTAAGTAAAAGCCAGGGGAGGGATTAAGTCTAAAGACGACTGGGCTGAAAGCCAGCAGCCAGCCTTAGGGTGTGAAGGGGGATATCCAAACTTTCACCTAGTTGGCTGTGGATAGCCACAGATGTCAAGCAGGGTGAGCAATAGGCATGAACTCAGGGTTGGAACTGGGAGCCTCTGTCTCTGTCTCCCCAAACACACACACACACACACACACACACACACACACACACACACACACTTCAATTTGAAACAAAGTATTGGGCATGGGCACCTACAATATAAGACCTAGAAATTGTAATCGCAAAAACTGTTAGGTATATATGTGCATATGTTTGGATGGAGGCTTTTGGGACAAAGGGTCTGTATTTGTAAGATGTAAGAGTGAGTATGTATCTAGTCTAAGATCTGGGGTGGGAGTGTCCTTACTCTGGCTTTCCCTTTTATATCTATATCAAGACACACACACACAGACACACACACAGACAGACACACACACACACACACACACACACCCCTGGATTCCTTCAGATGACGTCCCTGAGCTACACCACCATCTCCCAGAACTCCTGAAACTTCAGCTCCTTCTTCTCTTCTACTCTGTTTGTTCTGGTTAATGCCTAATAAGATTTTGGGGGAGATTCTTGCTGGGAAAGAATGGAGGGGTGGTCTGGCCAAGTAGGATCATAAGTGAAGAGGGTGCTATATATGAAAAGCCCCTAACCAGAGCCTAGTGAGCCCACAGGACCCCGAGGCCAGAGTCTCTTTCTTTCCTCTTAAGGTGGACCTGACCAGAGAGTTAAGGATTAGAATGGCGAGTAGGGGTTGGGGAGTTGCCAGATGACAGCAAAGACCAGAGATACTCACTGTGTAAGCGGGTGGCATTGGGAGTCAAGCCAATGAGCTGGGCCATCTTGGGAAGCCTCTTTCCCCTTGAAGTCTTGTCTACCCCGTTGTCTAGGTGTGTGGGGGCCAAGAGGTCAATCTGAGTCAGGACAGGAAAAGGGTGGTTAGATCTCTTGCCTCATGCCATCACAACTGCTTAGCCACATTTCACCGCTTCTGGTCCCCTCCTTTTGTGTTTCCTCTTTCTGATTTGGGGCAGTATTACCTGGCTCTGAAGATTCTGTATTCTCAGATTCTGCTTTGATAGGTATTTCTGCTGCTGGGCCACCTTCTGGAACAGTTGCTGGATCTTGCTGTTCTGAGCCTTGAGCTGAGTCTGAAGATATGCAAGATTGATGAAGACCTGGCTTTATGTCTGCAACCTCCTCTTATTTACCCTCCCTTCCACCCTTTCACAGTCGGCTCTTGGAGGCCCTTCTCCTCCCGATTCCTGGAGGACCCAAAACGAGTCTAAGTAGAGTCAGAGCCCTAGTAGATGCGCCTACCTGCAAACTTTGAAGACTCTCAGGAGTCTGGCCTTCAGGGACTCTATCCTCGGGATCTTTGAAGGGTGCATCTTTTCCCTTGGGCCCCTGACAAGCGTTACCGCAGGCAGCCATGCGGCGTTCCAGCGCGCCCAGCTGCCCACGGGTGCGCTCCACGTGCTCGCGCAGCCCGTGGCCGAGCTGCAGCAGCCCGTGAGCCAGCAAGTTCATCTCGTCCCAGGATGCGAAGCGCGGCGGCTCCGGCTGTGCAGGGCGCCCTTGCGCGCACAACAGCCCCGCAGTAGCCGCGCATAGCATCAGGGCAGCGCCTGCTGTCGGAGCGCAGCGCATGATTCGGGAGTGGCCTCGGGTGCAGCAAGGCTAAGACTCCGGTACTCAGGAGTTCAAGACCCAGTAGCTGGAGTTCTGGGGGAGCCGGCTCAGGCTTAGACTTTCTCTGGTGCAGAAGAAGGTCTGGAGCTTGCAGCTGATCAGCGTTTCACGGTTGCACCTAAAGCCCGATTTTATAAAGCGGTTGTGGGAGTGGGAGGGAGATCCTAGGAGGCGGGGCCCGGGGGCGGAGCGAGCGGCCAAGTTTTAGGGTGCAGTGCCACAGGCCTCGTCGTTACGAAGGTGTGTGGGGGGCGGGGGGAGTGCGTATGTGTGTGTTTTTGTGACCCTGTATGAAGAGTCCTTGGGGATGGCTATTTGGCCTTCCTCGCGATCCCATGAGCGACGTGACTGTCTCTGCACTGCATGGTTCATTCTAAGCCCGGAAATTCCCGCATCCTGCTCTCAGCCTGGTTCAGTGGAGGAAAGGGCATACAAGTCAATCAGGACGTGGATGCCTTCATGACTGACCCCTTCTCAAGTCAGAAGCAAAGTAGGGCAGAGTTACGTGGCAGAAAGTTCTCTCCCTGGTCGGCTGAGTTCAGATGGCAAGTGGGGGATTCCAGAACATTGCTCCCTGCCTCTTGGAGGCTTCCTGGGATCTGTAATCCCCAGACCAGGCAGGAACCCCTGCCCCAACTCTCACTTCCACCGAGACCTTTCTGGCTCCCACCCTCTTTCCGGCTCAAGCATTTGTCATTCCAGATGTGTCTGTGAGGGTCACTAACGCCCTTGTTCAATTACTCGCCTCTTCCTGGCCAAACAGTCAATAGCTAGGGTTTCTGCCTGCATTGTACAGATTGCAACTCAGGCTTCCTTCTGTTGCTTGTCTTCCACCACCAGGGGTCTCGGTATCCTGGAATTTCCCTGCATTAAAGCAGGATTTACATGTGAGGGCACCTGTCGTCCCATGGAGCATGGAGCAGAAGAGTGTGGAGTTAATTCATCTTGAGCTACACAAGTGAGTTTAAGTGAATCTGGGCTACTCTGAACCAGGTCTCCAAACAACAACAGCAACAACAAAACTGATGGCACTCATGTGTAAACCCAACACGCAGGACACAGTCAGGAGAATAGTGCAAGCTAAAAGCTAGCCTGCTCTACATAGTAAGTTCCAGACCAGTCAAAGCTGAAGCAGCAAGACCTTGTTACAAACAAACAAACAAACAAACAACAACAACAGAACAAAAACAAAGGACAGTGGTGTCGCACACCTTTAATCCCAGCACTTGGGAGGCAGAGGCAGGCAGATTTCTGAGTTCGAAGCCAGCCTGGTCTACAGTGAGTTCCAGGACAGCCAGGACTACACAGAGAAACCCTGTCTCGAAAAAACAAAACAAAACACCACCAAAAACAATTCATAGTGGTGCATTCCTTTGAACCCAGCACCCCAGCATCAAATGTGATTGGAGGGAGCCTGGTCTGCATAGTGAAGTTCCTGGCCATCCAGGAAGAAGACCTTGTCACAAAACAATAACAACAAAGACAAAATAAAACAACAACAAGTAAAAAAGCCAGGAGGAGCTGGAGATCGTCTACCAGTTAAGAGCATTTGCAGCGTTTAGAGGACCCAAAGTCCAACAGCTCGCAGTCACCTGTAACTCCAGCACCAGAAGTGGTGACTTTGACCTCCTTGGGCACTTATACAGATGCACACAGTTTTAAAAAAAATCATTTAAATTTAAAAAGCAAGCAATCTAGAGAACACCTGCAAAGACTCCTCTTCCACACAGTTCATTCATTCACTCATTCCACACAGCCTAGACCCTGCGTTTTTTTAGTTTGTGGATAAACCCTACCTTTGAACAGGGGAGAGGGACAAGGCTGAGACAAAGGAGGATGGGGGTGGGGCTGACATGGCTAAGTTTTTATTCGACAAGTTTGCTTAGGTATTCCTTTTCCTGCCAGTCCCCCTGTAGCCTGCTAGAAAGAGGAGCCTGGCACAGAAAACCTGCCTGACAAGAAGACCCTTAGGGCAGATTGACTGAAAAACCCCCAAGTTGAGTCAGCAGGGCTGGGAGCCAGCAGCAAACCTCTGGAATCTGAAACTGCATGCCCCAAGGCTGACGTGTAGGCCACTGGTTGTACACTTGACCAGTTGGGCCTTTTGCCAGACTGATCCCAGCAGCAGTGACAGGCAGACAGGAAGAGCAGGCGGGAACCTTTCAGCAAGGAATGAAATCATACATCCACCATCAGTCCACCCCAAACATCAGCCTTTGGGCACAGGACGTAGCCATTCTATGCTAGACCATATGCAACCTCCTCATCCAAATCTTCTTGCCAACAGAGAAAAAACAACAAGATGGATGTGGGTGGAGATGGGTGTGGCAGTGCATGCCTGTCATTTTAGCACTTAGAGGATAGTAGCAAGTAGGTCCATCTGGGCTATGTAAGAGAACCCGTCTCAAGAAATAAAATTAGGACTAGTCATATGGCTCAGTGAGTAAAGATGCTTGCTTTTAAGTCTGATGATCTGAATTCAGTCCCTGAACCCATATGTTGAAAGGAGAAAAAGGACTCCCAAAAGTTGTCCTCTGACCTCAACAGTTTTCTGTGGCATGCACATAAACAATATAAATAAATAGAGGAGAGGGAGAGAAACAGTGACAAGAAAGATGGCTTATTGATTAAAAGCATGTCCTGCCCTGGTAGATGAGTTTGCTTCCCAGTACCAACTCTGGGCTAATAACTGCCTGAGTCTTCAGCTTTGGAAGACCCAATGCCCTCTTGGCCTTCTCAGACACCTGCACACATGTGCGCGCGCGCACACACACACACACACACACACACAGACACACACACAGACACATGCACATATTTGCTGTTCTTGTACAAGACCTGTGCTTGGGTCTGAGGACCCACACAGTAATTCACATCCATCTGCAAGTCCAGTTCCAGGAGATCCAATTCTCCTCTGGGATCTCCAGGGGACATACATACATACAAAATAAAATAAGTCTTTTTTGTTTTTTTGTTTTTGTTTGTTGTTTTGTTTTGTTTTGAGACAGGGTTTCTCTGTATAGCCCTGGCTGTCCTGGAACTCACTCTGTAGACCAGGCTGGCCTCGAACTCAGAAATCCACCTGCCTCTGCCTCCCAAGTGCTGGGATCAAAGGCATGCGCCACCACTGCCCGGCTATAAAATAAATCTTAAAGTTTTTTAAATAAAAATTTTAAAAAATAAAAGAAACCACCAATTACTTTGCCAACATGACAGGTTTTTTGTGATGTATGTGTGTATTAACATATGTATGGGTACATGTGTGGGTAGGTGAGTATGCTATTGTGTGCACATGTGTACGGAAAAGTGAAGTGTCTTCTTTGTTTTTGGCTTTTTTTTTTTTAAAGATTTATTTATTTTATGTATATGAGTACACTGCTCTCTTCAGACGCACCAGAAGAGGGCATCAGATCCTATTACAGATGGCTGTGAGCCACCATGTGGTTGCTAGGAATTGAACTCAGGACCTCTGGAAGAGCAGTTGGTGCTCTTAACTGCTGAGCCATCTCTCCAGCCCAAAATGTCTTCTTTGTTACTCTCTATTTATTGAGGCAGAGTATCTTCTTAGACCTGAAGCTCACCACCTTGCCCTAGGGATCTCCTGAAGTACTGAGATGACAGGAAGTTACTCTGCCTGTCCAGCTTTTTTGTGGGTTATGGGAATCAGAATTTCATTCCTTGCCTTTGTGAGTCAAGGACTTCATCCACTGAGCCATCTTTCCAGCCCCAAATCCCACATAGTCTTTTTTCTACATACTTTTCATTGACTTCTTCAGTGCCATGCTTCAGAGAGTACAGAACAATCTGAAGATTTTTGGAGGCACCTGCTGGTTATAACCATTACAAAAGACTCCTGTCCTTTTTGGGACCTGGAACTGGCTCTGACTTTTATCCTAAAAACTGCTTTCTGGAATGTTCCCTCTTATCCAGCTGTTGCAATGACTCAGTAACCACCTGTTATGTGCTGGCATTGTGCTGGGACCATATTGTGTCCATGTTTGGTCTTCATACACTCTCAGCTTTGGTACAAGGCTTTGATCTGAGGCTACAGCTCACTGTTAGAGCTCTTACCTAGCATATATGAGACCTGGGATAATGTTCTTAGCACTGGAAAAAATATGGCACTATATTTGGACTGGGAACTTAGCTTAGAGGTATAGCACTTGCCTAGTGTGCATGAGACACTAGGTTTACCCATAGTACTGCAACCGACCAATCAATGGGTATAGAAAAGTTGGCACAGGTTAGTTGCGATGGTTAGTATTAATTGTCGCTGGAGAGATGGCTCAGCAGTTAAGGGCACTGAAAAGGCTCTTAAACTTTAACTGCACTGAAAGAGTAGTTAAAGGCTCTTCCAAAGGTCCTGAGTTCAATTCCCAGCAATCTCATGGTGGCTCACAACCATCTGTAATGGGATCTGATGCCCTCTTCTGGTATGTCTGAAGATAGCTATAGTGTACTCATATAAATAAAAAATAAAAAATTTAGCTAGGCAGTGGTGGCGCATGCCTTTAATCCCAGCACTTGGGAGGCAGAGGCAGGTAGATTTCTGAGTTCGAGGCCAGTCTGGTCTACAGAGTGAGTTCCAGGACAGCCAGGGCTACACAGAGAAACCCTGTCTCGAAAAACCAAAGGGAAAAAAAAAGTATTAATTGTCAACTTGACAAAAGTTAGAATTACCTGTGAAGTGGTGGGGGTAGTTACCTTGATTTTGCTAAGTTACTCACTGTGAATGGCACATATCCTAGACTGTGTAAGAGTGGAGAATGAGAACATGGCTGGAGAGATGGCTCGGCAGGTAAAAACACTTGTTGCTCTTGCAGAGGAACAAAGTTTGGTTCCTAGCATCCACATGGCAGCTCACAACCATTTGTAACTCCACGTAGAGGGTATCTGATGCCCCTTTCTGATATCCTTGGGCATGAATATGATACATATACATACATAGAAGCAAAACACTAATACATAAATAAAATAAAAATAAAACAAAAAAATAAAAGAGTGGAGAATGTAGGCTCATCCTTAGTATGTTTCATTTCTTGCTCTCTGCTTCTCGGCTGAGGATGCAGTATGACTGGCTGCCTGATAGTGTGACTTCCTCAAACGTTATGGACAGCAACCATGAACTGTGAGCTGAAAT